CACCCAGGAAACACTCTTTTTCTTTCCCCTCACATTAACATAAGGTGGTCCCAAGGTACAAAGAGCTGAGACTCTACTGATGTGGTAGACATTTTCATCTTTGAGTAATGTTGGTGGGAGCCGAGGACGCTGAGTATCTATCTATTTTTGAATAAGACTACAGGGTGTGACATGTGAGCACCCTCCAAGAGTGTAGTAAGTGATGCATCCCATGGGGCTGCTTTTCACATCCTCTTGTAATGCTTCAGCCTTTGCAGGGCTGCGGGCTGGAAAGTTTGGGAATCGTGCTTTCCCTGCAGCGGGGTCTGAGCTATGCGACAGTACACCCGGGCTGTTCAGCAACTTAGCTGACTTGAAATAGAGCACTGGAACAAAACATGTTCTGAGTGATTTTTAAGTAAAAGCTAATGTGAAAATGTGGGAGTTTGAACCAATGTAAACACATTAAATTTAAAACAATTTTCAAATGTAGTAAAGAAAAAAATAATGTTCCTGCTCTTGAAATTCCTAAAGGACACATTTTTCCTTTTGAGTCATGATTTAATTAGATTATATTTTATTAGACATTCTTTACAAATTTTAAAATACTGCTATTATACATGCACAAAGGAAAATCAGTTTGAACAATTGTATGTAGGCATTCATTGAAGTCAACCACAAAACAGGAACATTTTATGTCAGTTATCAATGTACTCAATATGTATATCTAAAGTGCATTATGTTACAAAAAATATAGAAAGTCAGCAGCACCAAGATATGTTCACAAAATAAATACACCAGTCAACAAAATAAATTATGGTAAATGTGACAATAATAATTGTCTTAGCCTTAGCAAAAAAAAAAAAAAAAAAAAAAAAAAAAGGAAAATTCACAATAATCAAATGTGCAGTTTCAGAGAGCAATGGGGGAAAAAAGGTTTTATTCTGAGCATTTACAATATTTACAGGTAATAAATATTTTAATACTTCCCATATGTTCACTATTACAGAATACTGCAATATGTCTTCCAAAAATCTCTTGCTGAAAATGTCAGCGCCTCCTGCAAAGAAAAAAAGGACAGAAAAAACAGAAAAATTAATTCTTACTTCAAGCACACAGATACAAAATTAATAGCAAGAGTGCCACAGACTATAACGGGTGTGCCTTGCTAGTAAACATTTGCAATAATAGGGCCAGCTTAACAATGCTACAGTTTTAGACATCTTTTCAAGACCTCTACTATATTTCTTCAATGCTAGCAGTATGAAGACCTGCAGTTTGTCATGACACTGAGGCCATCTATTCCACTATATTGTACATTCAGAGAAATAGGAAGGGGCTTTAGTTTTCTTTAAAGCCTTATGCAAGAAGATTCCTGAGCGCTACAGGTAGAAAAATTCTATCAACCTATAATAAATATGCCAAGTGTTAAAAAGAAAAAAAAGCAGTTGGAGACATGAGAAAGTCCTTATTGAACACTGTGGCAATCATGCCCCTGCTGTGTTAACCGCTTGGGTGTGATGCCAGGCTTCTGATTAAAACAGTCCCACGGGGCTTATTTGGTCTATCTTTCCCACTGATAGACCACCTGTTAGACAAGGTTCTGTTTATCTTAGAGGTATATATTTCTATGCTCTCGTGTACATGAGTACATGCAGTACTTATGCAGTAAAGGCTGCTCAGGTCTCGAAGTGAACAGATCCTTGATAGCATATCTCTCTAAGTGCTTGAACGAATTAATAAACTATAATCTTGAAATTTTCCCTCTGTGAGCCAAAGAACTTGGTCCTAAAAGAAAATGAGCATCTTGTCGTGTCAAGCTCTGACTCCTGTTGCACTCAGTCAAAGCTGAAACAGTCTGCTGTATACAGTCCTAAGACTTGGGAGTTTTCTAAGGGATGCTGGCAGCCTGGTGCGAGTTCTGCACTCCTCCCTGCCTTGTGAAGGCATGAGAACAAAAGCAGAGCCTGCTCCTATCCTGTCAGTGTATTACTTACACTACAATATTATTTTTAGTTACTTCCTAGTGGTGCTGCAGAAAATGCTGAAGGGTTGGGCTTTTTTCCCTTCTGCCCCTGTGAACAGCACATTTCTGTAACGCACGTTGGTTCCCTGGGAAGCGGCTATAGAATGGAGTGTGAAGCTATAGGATGGAGCGGGATTCGCTCTGTTGCTGGACTGATCGCCGAAGCTGCGGGTAGTGTTCCACATGGCAGACGTGTGTGGGTGTGAGATACAAAAAAAAGCAAATCCTTGAGAGTTTAAGAGGGGTTTTATATGTGCACTTTGAAAGTGAGACTACATTTAACATTAGGGAATCTACTTATTTGAAAGGTTTCTTAGGAAATTAGGTAATAACAGCTTAATTGAATTGGAATGGGAATATAGCTGAAACGTCCATGAGAAAGAATTTTTAAGTGCCTGGAATGGAAATGCTAGCATGAAGCTCATTAATAATTAACTAGTAATATTAGAGTATATTCAGGCTATATTACAATATGTATAATAATGACACACAATTCATACAGCATGACTATATGTATGTCTGCACTACACAGGCCTATTTTTAAGAGGTTGACATTTTCAATTTGGCTTGGAGTTTAGGCTTTTAGAGTTTAAGTTAAGCCACATCTTGACAATGGGCTCTTTACTAATGACTGCTTGCAAGCTGCTTTCTGTGATTTAGTCCCAGATTTTGCAAGATTGGCTTCTTCTATGAGGAACTTCCTGTAGTAAGTCAGAAGATCTAGAGAGCACATTATTTTTGGTCTTTTTTCTGACCTAAACCCAAAATTTTGGGATCGATATTGGGCCAAAGGAATTGGCGTGAGGGTTTTAGTTCAGTGTGTTGAGCAGAAAAGAAGCACAGAGATACAGTGAGAAGCACAATTAAAGTTTATCTTTGCACTTCCTTGACATTTGCCCTGCTGTATTATACATATCCACTTCTTCACTGTAAAGTAATGACGCTTCTCCTAAGCTGCAGCTAGCCTTAGGGGTGCTGCAAAAGCAGCTTCTACTGGTGTAGCATATGGGAATCCTGTCTGCACACACCTTCCTTGTCCCCCACCACCAGATAGAGTAGAAGTTCTCGATTCAGCTCAGTACAGCTGAGGAATCAACCTCACTCAGGTGTGGTCATCCCTCCATCTAAAATGCGCTTGCCCACCTTGTGCCAACAACCGCATAGACAGCTGCATTGAACCCCTATCTAAAGTACATGTCAGGGAGTTGGGACTTCCTTTCATTTAAAGTTTAGAAATTATATCTTTTGCCAGCCTACTGGGATAACTACAAGCTCATATACTAGCAGTTTTTTAAGAACTGAAACAGCATATTATGCTCTGTACTTGTGAAGGAGGAATCTGGTTCTCCTGTTTTATGGCTTCTCTTTGTTTAATCATCTTCAATTAAATATCTAAAATATAGATCCTCTTTAGGAATCTGTTTCTTGCCCTGGAGGAATACTGCACCTTGGGCAATAATATCAGGAAGGTAAAGCTGGACTGCCTTCAGCAGTCTGGACGCCACAGTAAAGCTGACTGCCTTCAGCCATCCAACCATACTTGAAAGAGAAAGGCTGAACTAGGAAAATCAACAGGGTTGTACCTGTCATTCTTTTATATATCCTACTGGATATACAACCAAAGACAGAGTAGTAAGAAAAAGAAGTAACACTCA